AGCCAAATTGAATCCAAGACAAGCCTGTTTAAATTGATTATAGATTTTTTAATTTGATCGACATAAACTTACAGAAGACTAAATAAAATTGCCTGCATTATTTTTCAAATGGTTCAATTTGCACTAATATATCAGTCTGTCTCACGTCATCGTAGAGGTTTGAGAGGAATAGCTTTACAAGAACCTTTCGCGCTAGATTCAATCATCGAATGTTCAGTTGGTTCGATTTTCAAAAAAAAGCTAATTGTTCAAATAATTTTGATTTGCTTCGCACAGTTAGTAACATGGGTGATTGTTGAGTAGCACATCAGATTTTTAACCTAGTTGGTAGTTTTTGAAATATGTTCGAACTTACAAAGATGCAATTGTGAAAAGGTAAATCAAAGCGATGCAAATACCAAAAACCTAACTACACTGACCCAACCTCTTGCCTGCCATTGGGTTTTCGGCGTTTTTCCGCGATTTTTTTGGACAAGCGCGCGCTTTGCGCGAGCTCAGTCATATTCAGACGAGCAGCCGAGAGTTTTTATTGTACACGATCACACGGATATAGAAAGGATCTCGCAAAGCTATTGCTATTTTCTCGGGTTTTCCATTGCGACTTGCTTCCCACAACAGAGATAAAAGAAGCTGGAAGTGCAATTTCTATTCATTTCTTTGAGAGAAACACAATCACACGGATACAAAAAGGATCTCGCAAAGCTATTGCTATTTTTCTCGGGTTTTTCCATTGCGACTTGTCCCACAGTAGAGAAAAAGAAAGCTGGAAGTGCAATTTCTATTCATTTCTTTGAGACAAACTCCAATTTTTATCCCGGGAGAAACGAATAATTATAGATAGCATGATTTATGTTTTAAAAGTGTTCAAGTTTTCATTTTAACTATAAAAATAGCCGAGCGTGCGTATTTGGTCCAATACGTCGGATGATTAGGTTCAAATCCCAATCGGAGTCAATTTTTTTTTACTTATGAAGCTTTTTCAGCTCGCTTAATTTCTAGAGGTGAAAGATATCACAAACTTTTTCCTTCTGATCAGAACAGTCGTGCGTCAAGCGTATCTCAGGCAAAATTTCGATCTGAGTGGGCAGATTCGAATCTTGATCCGGGAGAATAATGGTTATTTTTTTCAATATTATGCAACGTGTTCCGTGTAATTCGAAGTAGATTTTCATTATTTTGTGAAGTAAAAAAAGTTAAAGACATGCAGTTTTTAGTGATATCACTTGTTTATTCTGTTTTTTTTTAATGAGAACTACCTTTCACTTTCTCAAATTCACTACAAATTCACTTTCTCATCTACTTTTAAAAGCGATTGGGTAGTGAAAAAGATACACTAGAATTTGATCAAAAAGTAGGAAATGCAATTCGAGTTCCAAAAGACGGAATAGAGATTTTTTTTTCATTTTGATCGATTTGAAATTACTGATACCAGCTTGATAAAAGTGTCTGCAATGTCTTTCAAAATATGAATAAGCACAAATTGTTCATGCTGTTTTGCAACCCCACAGGGGATAGAGCAGAACAAATTAAGCAGTTTTTCTCTAGCTATTCGGTCGTCATTTTTTGATATCAATAGGTTTTCAAGATTTGTTTTTCCTTATTCTTTTTGTG